AGGGGGCGGCGGGGCTCCTGTCCCGGCGGCGCGGAGAAGCCGCCGGGGCGGTGGCACGGCCAGGCGGGAGCCTTGGGGAGGCGGGGATGGGCGCGGAGGTTCCGGCGGGGAATAACGGTGCGTGTAGCGAGGGAGCGGCTCTGCCCCGGCCCCGCTCCGAGCCGAGAGGCTCCGCTTCCCTGAGCCCCCCCGGGCGGGGTGGGAGGCGGCGTTCCTGGCTACGGCGCTTGTTTCCACTTGCAGCCCTGCGTGAGAGAGCGCCTCTTGGATGCAGATGGGCGGCCTCGGCTTGTTGGGCTCTGCGGCATTGTCCGGGAGTTAAGGTACAGTCCTGGTGAAGCCAGCAGTGTTAAGAAGTATACTGGCAGATTGGCACTGTTTTCATTACCTCGTGCTTACTTTACTTAATGTTCAGGGGTGGGTTATAGGAAAGGCACCTCTGTTAGGTGTTGCACTTCCATAGTAAGCTTGCCAGTGTGCCCACGTGCAGTGTTAACGGTTTAAGAGGCCAATATAAAACATAAAGGTCAAATTCTTCTCTTGATTTCTACCTGAGCGGCAAAGTGAAACAGTGAAAGTCTTATCTCATAAACGGCACAGTCATTACCGTGTGATCGGGTGAAGAAACGACTAACCAGATAACTATACTTGTATTCTGAATGGCTCACCCAGGCATCGTGTATACAGTTTATTGTTTACCTAGCAACCGAAACGTGTTAGACATCTCACAGCCAAAATAACTCTGGCTCCTGCTCCCAGATTACAGCCTGATCACCTCGGGAAAACCCCTGTGACTGTAGAGGGACAGTTGCCATCAAATTCGGGGAAGTTCAAGGGTTTGCAAATCAGCTGCAGAAACAAGGCTAAAGAAGGCAAGAGATAGGGAGGTGATGGAAATGAAGTTATAGATGATGGGAATAAAGGAAAGAAAAAAGTGTGGGATTGGGCTCTGGGGTTGCATAGCCAATAAAATACAGCATACTGCCTCAGAAAGATCTTTATTCTTCTAACATGTTAAAGTTCTTGAGCTACTTAACTGCAACAAAGATAAACAAGAAAAATACTTTGAAGGGGATAACCTCAGGGAACAGATATTTTTCCTATGAAATTGAGTGAATATTCTGTTATTTTCAGAAGCCAATTATAGTTCTCCAGTCTACGCTCTGCTCTTCGTGTGGTTTTGGCCCCCTTGCCCTGATAACGGCAGTGTTAATGTGGCAGTTAAAGATCATCAAGTGCTTCCAGCAAGTTCTCTGCTCGACTCACAAAACAGCAACCAAAATAGCCTTGTCAGTTTAAATAGCCAGACTTTGGTGGTGAAATGAAGTGCGTGCTTCAGTTAACTGAATTGAATTATAAACCTCTGCTTAGCATTTTAAACCCCATTTAAATAAATGATGGTTAGCTTTTGAAGTACGGCATGGTTCCTTAACTTGGATAAACTGGAATCTGCCAAGCCATCCTGATTCATCTGTATTAATATACAGTTAATTATGTAAATACACTTCCAGAAATGGTTTGTCTTCAGTTAACTTTTTTTGAATTTGAATGGTTCTTCTTAAAATTCTCACCTGAAGATATTCTGAGTGGGTTTATAAGTCTTTTGGACTGGTCTTTTTCACATGCCTTTACTGTGTGTCAGGGTCAAACTTTAGAAGCTGACATATAAAGTGGGGGTATTTTTAATTCTTTTCTGTGTGAAAGAAGGGAAATCTGAGAACCAAAGATACAGTGCCACTTTTGTGCCACATATAGCACTACTGACTGGAACCAAACTAAAAATGGGAGTTCCACTGATGGGACTTAAAGAAGCCATACTTTATTCCAGGCCTTTTGCTGATGATAATTATAAATATTTTAATGATGTAAATGCCAGATAGACTCCTTGCTAGCCAAAAAATAACAGGAAAAGCATATGTAAAAACGCTAAATAAAAACTTTGAGAGAGCAGTGTTTGAGCAGGAAAAATGACTGAAAATAAAATAATACCTAATAGAAATGATACAGAAAATTCAAGACTCTCTGGAAAATACTTGTTTTGTGCCAGCACCCAGGTACAGTGAATGAATTAGTGGTTATAGAATTAATGGTTATAGAATACCATCGCAGTTACAGGATACTACTCAGGATCTGGCACTGGGTTCTGTGAGTTGTCCTTTAACAGAAAGAGAGAAGCCTTGGATTGGGTCCCCGGGGCTTCACTTGTTCCTAGAGGGATGGGTTGCAGAGGAGTGCTGTGCCAAGGCAGCTAGGTCTGTTCCTGTCCACCACAGGATTTGTGCCTGGAACTGGAGAGAGGGTGAGATTGCAGGGGTCATGTAGCTGGTTTATCTCCTTTGATCTTAATAGGTCCAGCTATTTTGTGCAGTTGGAAGGAATTAACAGATAATTCAGGTTAATCACTTGAGACGTATAACATGCTTCTTCACATAGCTTGTAATTCTATTTGCTGTTAATTATTGCTGTACGCTCATGTGTACACATGACGTGGCACCTGTTGATTTCAGGGGGGTGCATATGAGGCTTGAAATGCTGATCTTTTAGTTTCTTTGAAGGGTTTTACAACCATCTCCTTTCTCACCCGCCTTCCATTTCCACTTCTATGTGACTGTGCTTCTAACAGATATATTACCTGTAGTTTATTTCTGTTTAAAAGAGATTTTCATATCTTCCTTTTCTACTCTTATTTTCTCTTGTTCTAGCTTCTACTGGTCTAGGGTTTGTTTTAATTAAATGAGGACTTCAGACACATACTATAAACGACATTTTCAGTAAGCCTAATATAATAGACCATTCCTTACATACTGAAATTAGAAACTGGGAATTTTATAATTTTGTTGGATTTTACATAGAGCCAGACCTGGAGTCTATCAATGTTTAAGGTGAAAGTCCACTCCAGCCTGCATGGCAGATTGTAGATGCAGTGAACCCAGATCCTTGCTGCACAAGGAGTTACAGCCTAACAAAAGTCATGAGTAAATTCTGCTGAGGCCAGGAGCACTGGGACATTTTTCATCTCAGGGACCCCTTATTATCTACATCCTAATTATCAGGTAAACTACATCCTAATGATCAGGTTATTCTAGGATCCTGGCAGAGCCACTGTAACCTCCCATTTCTGAATCAATCCAAAAACTTCTCTTTTGTTCAGCTGCCCAGCATCCTGTGGTTCTCATGGAAGAACTGGATCTGAGACTGAGAAGGAAAGGAACACTGATATCCTATATTGTATGGAATTGAGCACAGAGCTCTCTAACAAGGGATTATTTTGTTTGTTTCATTTCATCTTCATATGATTTTCATTTTCCTTATTTCATATGCTTTTCACTTAAGGTGCCTTTCTTTGTATTTTACTGTTGTAGTGTATCCAGTTCCTTTTTTTCTGTTGTCTCATTCCTCTCTTATTCTCTCTCTCTCTTTTTTTTTTTTTCCCTTTCGGTTTTCCTCCATCTTTTGAGAAGTGTCAGTTTTCACTTCGAGTGTACTCTCTTGGTCTGAGTACTTTACATCATATGGAAAATGTAAAACATGCAGTCTGATCCCATTTTACCAGTTATTTATTACTGGGGTAATAAATCTTGTACTTGGAGTTTCTATATGCTATATTAGGTGCAGAGTGCATTTACGGTCTAAATGACAAGCACAGAATTTGCAGGGGGTGCAGTGATAACTAAGCATGTATAACCTAACACTTGACCTTCTCCCCTTTGAATTTTCAGGCAAAAAGTAGAATTTTGAGGGTTGAATTAGCTATGTCTGATTTTACCTCATCAGTGTTTGTTCAAGATCAAATGCCATATTATAAATACCACTTATATTTTTTTTTAAATCAAATTAATATTATCACTGAATTTATTTTTGTTTGTTTGTTTTGCTGCTGTCTTACATTGGAGTTGTTTCACATTTGATTAGGAATAATAGAAATATTTTGAACACCCCAAAGACTGGATTAGCAGCAGTGAGGTTTGGGAGAAAGTACTGTTCTCAGTGTGACTCTACACTGGAAGTCATGGGTTTTTCCTCTCCTTACATTTCAGCTCATATGCACTGCCTCGTCTAATTAATCAACCATTATGTGGGTGAAGTTATTTCTATACAGACTGCAGAGATGTCCACAAAGGTCTGTTCTTGCCAAGTTATATGAGGCATTACTCCTGCAGAAGGATGGGTTTGGCTACCTCCCAAATACCTGGACTAAAAAAGAAATAGCAGCATTTATTATTATTTAAATTACAGAACTGACAGACTCAGGCCAGTGGGAGAAGAGACAAAGGCAGCAGTAAGAAATGTGTTGGGTTTTTTTAACCTAAGCAAGAGAGAGACCTACAGGGAAATTGGAGGAAAAAAAAAAAGATTTTTTTTCCTTATCCTACAAAAAGTAGGATATAGCGCAAATGTGGTATCAAGTTTTCCTCACCATCACCCTTAAAATCACAGATTAGTGTGTGCTGAACAGATACAGGCTAACTGGTGCAGTTTGTGGGTTGTATGAAAAACGTATTAGACCTTTTTCTGTGTTGCATATGGTATATTGCATTAACCTGCAGTTAATATATAGGGATGTAAAAGCAGGCTACAGTTTGAACTGTATAAGTAACTGTAGCAGTGGTCGAGCTTTCAGTTAGCTTAGCACTAACTCCTTTGTTGGAAAGCCTGATAAATGTCACATTCATGCTGAACCTGTATTTAGATATTGCCAAGGGAGGGTGGCACACCCCTTCAGCAGAGGAGCCATGCTTTTTCTCATAATTACTCTTGCATTTAATGGCAGGTAATATTTTTGATTGAGTAGTGGTAGCCAAGAATTGGGGCTGCAACAATAACATGACAAATATGAGCTTTGGAGTCAATAGAAATCGACATAGCTTAGAAGGCTCACATAGAGTGCCGAGGGGGAAAAGCAAGCAGAAACCTAACTAAATCCATTATTATATCTACAAAATT